TTGTGTCATATCCTCTGCCCAGTTTCCGTGGTTTGGGATAAGATAGAGTTAACATCTCTTGGAAACTATACCCTACTTGTTGGACCCACCTGTTGATGGGAGTTAAAAGTTCATGGAGGGGAAGAACTGTTAAGTGAACCACTGATAAGTGGGCTGCTTATATAATGAGACTGTTACTTATAGAATCTTATCTAACTGTAAAGAACTCTGAGACCAATCTTTATTTTGAAGTAGGAAGAAATAAAAGAAGGGGATCAGATGACTGACTGGGTTAATTGGAGTCTCTACCAAGCTTTGTCTTCTGGTTCTCCTCATAAGCCAGTGCTAGGCGTTTGCAAAGAAGTTTATTGTAATTTCTGGCTAAGGAACATACTTTTCGCTGTATCGGAAATAAAGTGGCCCTTGGGATGAAACTTTGGCCTTATTAGTATCATTCTAGTTAAAATGAACTTTCATTTTATCTGTTAGTCTGATCTAGATGGGCTTATTATATACATATTACTTTTGAAGTTTGAAGAGTTGTTCCTGTTATCAATTTTTGGCTAGTATTTAACTCCTAGTTATACTCGTTCACTTAAAATAAAATCTATTTAGACAACATTTGGATCATTTATTTATTTATTTTGTGATTACAGTTTTAAGCCAACTGAGTGACTCCATTAGCTGTCAATGCCTGTGTTGTAATGTTGAGAGTTTTATAAAGTTTTTTTTAAATAGCATATATACATCTTCTTTTCTCTTTGAAGTAAAGATATGTAGTTGCTATAGTTCAATCATATTTTAACATCATCATCAATACAGTTTTATTTTATGAAAGGTAAGAGTTTTATGATAGTTCTGTTTTTTGTAACCAGCACAGTTGAGAATTAGAAACCAAAACTGACAGCTGTAGGTCCAAAACTGTTGTCCACAGGAAAAACCTGCTGACCTATCATCTGACAAAGAGAAAAAAATCAGTGAGGCAATTACCCTACCCTAGAGACAAGTTATATGCTAAGGAGTAATAGATTAAATGGTGCTACCACCCTCCTTCTGCAGTGACCCAAAATTCCCAGAGAATCCTACAGCTAATCTAAATAAACTCTAGGTTTCTCAGGGCCTGTGAGCAGTCCCCAAAAGGCCCAAATCCATGGATTTTAACCAAATCGATATAGATCATGAACATGGTGAGTCAAATAGCTATTTTCCTACCTTCTCAGTATGAGGACCTATCCTCATACTTCACCTAAAAAATGAGAACATTAAACTAGGAGTTCTCCCTTCCCTTTTCCTCATCTCACATCACTCAGACGTCTTCTGCCTATCTGCTTCACTTCTCTGACACAGAAAAAGATGTTCTTGTTGTCAAGACCAACCTTTCTACATATACTCTGGTGGGTAAAAGATGAAATAACTGAGGAAACAAAGCATATTGATTTATTAAGCAATGAATGGCGATTGCCCGACATACTGGGATCAGATCTCCTCAGCCTAAGTTTGGACCATGAATACAGGGGGAGAGTGACTTTTATACGTAAAAGAAATTGATCAAATAAGACCAATTAATTAAAAGGAAACAGTACAACATTAGGCGATCTGATTTCTAATTAGATGAGAGATTAGGGACTTTTCAAGTTGGGAGGGGGAAAGCAAAAGGTGCAATTCCCTGAATTCAGAAAAAGAGGTGAAGGAACATGGAAACAATAACTAATCAGTACAGGACTAGTTCATAGATAAGACGCAGGGGTTGCTTAAGATGTACAATGGAAGAACACTACTTACATCAGTCTTTGAACTTAACTGGGTTTCTGGTCAGTATAAACTAGGTCCTTCATTAAGAGTCTCTTAAACAGGGCAGCTAGGTGGCGCAATGGATAGAGCTCCAGCCTTGGAGTCAGGAGGACCTGAGTTCAAATCCAGCCTCAGATACATAACACTCACTAGCTGTGTGACCCTGGGCAAGTCACTTAACCCCGTTGCCTCATCAAAAAAAAAAATAAAAATAAAGAGTCTCTAAATAGCACGTAGGGGTGGTCCAGTTTCCCAGCCATGCAGGGCTAGGTTCAAACAATGTAATAAGGTTTTCTCCCAATTTCTTCCATATCTAGTCTGTCTCTAATCTTAAATCTCTCCCTCTCTACCTTCCAGTAGTTTCAGATAGACTTCTTCAAACCAGTGGTCTGAGATCAGTTTTAGACCCAGCTCTGCTATGGACTAGTCAGATGGCCTTGAAAAACTCACTTCACCTTTATGAACTCTGCTTCCTCATTTGATAAATAAGGATGATAACATTATCTCCTCACTTCTAGCTCCTGCCTTCTCTAGCTTCTTTCCTCAGCTAAAATTTCTCTCTATTCAAGAATCATTTTCTGGTCTTCTTTAATATTTGTGAATTCCCTCTGAGATTATCTCAAATTTATCTTGTGTGTATCTTGTATGTATCTTATTTGTACTTGGTTGTTTTTGTATTATCTCCTCCATTAGATTGTGAGGGCAGGGACTGTTTTTGCATTTCTTTTTATCTCCATTGCCCTTAAGTAGCAGACAATAAATGGGCAGCTAGGTGGCAGTGGATAAAGAGTTGGAGGGCCTGGAATCAGGGAGATGTAAGTTCAAATGTGGCCTCAGATACTTACTAACTGTGTGACTCTAGGTAAGTCACTTAACCCTATTTGCCTCAGTTTCCTCAACTATAGAATGAGTTGGAAAAGGAAATGTCAAACCACTCCAGTATCTTTGTCAGGAAAACCCCAAAAGGGGTCACAAAGAGGCAGATACAACTGAAAATAACTAAATGACAACCTAATAAATACTCACTGACTTATTGACTAATTCCTAGGATTATTATGAGGGTAAAAAAGGTAAACTGCAAAATGTTATGTAATTATAAAGCAGTTTTATTTTTTCTTTCTAATTTTATGAGATTAGAAAGCCAAATTGTGTTTTTAAAATTTGTGTGTGTATTTCTATTACTAGAAGATGTTCAGTTGGCATGTATTGTGATATTATGAATATCAACATCTTTATGGGTCTTTTTTTTGTTTGTTTGCTGATGTGCTTCATGTCTAACTAATCTCTATATCTCTCAATCCACTGAATTAGATATTAGTTGGTGATGCCTTTCTTTTACCAATCTCTGTATCTCTCCATCCAGTTAATCAACTATTAATTGATAATGGCAAATATTTTTAGTTGGGTGATAGGCACAGTAATTTCCCAAAATCCCTTCCAAGAAACATTCTGATTTAGTTAAGAAAAGTTATTCTAAATTACTTGTGGATATAATATGGTCTGTAAATCAGATCTATCCCCATTGGGTAAAAAAAAAATGCCTATTACCAACTGATAAAGAAAAAAGGTAGGATTGGCACAGTGTCTATAGTAGTATGACATTGATTTGTTATTGCCTTCCTCTCTTCATTCTCCTCTTACCTGTCTTAACTGCTTGATCTTCTTTGATAAGACTTTGTGCTAGGCCTTCTCTTTTTATCTCTGTATTATCTCCATTGGTGCTATCATCAGTTCAACTATCAGGTCTATGCAGATATTCACAGATCTGTCTAGCCCTGGTCTCTCTTTTGAACTCCAATACCACATTTTCAACTACATATTTTAACATTTCAAACGATGTCCTGTAGACATCTTTAACTCAAAATGTCTACAATACAATGAATCATCTTTCCCCTGAAACCCACCTCTTTTCTAAAAATGTCTGTTACTCTCAAGGTCACCCCCATCCAGTTCTGAGTCTTCTTGTTTCTACCATCACAACATATACCTCCCCTTCTCTCCATTCACATAGGTACCACTTTAGTTTAGTCCCTCATCACCTCTCACCTAGACTATTCCCTCTAATGTCTCCTTGCCTTAAATCTATCCTCTCCTCTTTCTCACCTATCCACCACAGACCAACCAAAGTGATCTTCCTAAAGCATAGACCTAATCATGTCATCCTCCTGCTCAGTAAACTCCAGTGACTCCCTATTACTTCTAGGATTGAATACAAAGTCCTCTTTTTGGTGCTCAAAGTCCTTCATAACTTGCTCCATTTCTACTTTTGCCAACTTTCTATTCTTTGCTCCCTATTATACACATACTGTGGTCCAAAAAAAGCAACTTACTTGCTGTTTGTTGTATACAACACTACATTTCCTGTTTTTGTGCCTTTGACTAACTGGAGCATTCCATGCCTGAAATGCTCTCCCTCCTGACCTCTGCCTCACTTTCTTCAAGACTCAGCTCAAGTCCAGCCCTCTGTAAAAGGCCTTCCTGGTGTCCCCACCCACCTAGCCCCTTGAGTTTTCCCCCATGAGATTACCTTCTTTCTACTCTGTATGTATCTCTCATATGCACCTATTTATTTACATATTGTCTCCCTGATTGGTATAAAAACCTCTTCAGGTCAGTGGACTATTTACTAAGCAAAAAGTGTTGCTTAGCAAACACCTGGCACAGAATAAGCATTTAATAAATTCTTATTGATTAATTGGTTGATTGACTAAACCTCGTCTGTCCCTGCACTATTGAGAACCAGACCTTAGGGGGAAGATCATTGTTGACAGTAGTTTGATTGCAGGTCTGAGATTTCCCCAACAACGGCATACCATAATTTGTTATTTAGTTGTAATACCTTTTCTCCCTGTTCCCAGTACCCCTAGGACTAGGATCATAGCAGATTAAAAAGAAAGGACCTCACCTAATGATTTTTAGGCCCAAGAATATAAGCCTCTTTTCTTCTGGGGACCAACCGAACTCCCATTTGAACAATTCCTTGAACAGCTCCTGAATTAACTCACTAGAATCCCAAACATGAATCCTATGTAGTTTTAGCATATAATTTATCAATGATAATTTACTCTGGTATTCTGCCCAAATAGAGATTTTTTTTGAGGTAGGTCATTTCTTTGTTTTGTTGTCTTTATTTTGGAATATCTCAGAATGGACGTTATTTATGTGCATAAATGATTCCTACCTTCCGTAGGGACCTCCCTACCTCTCAACTGAAATCTCTTCTTGTGTAGGTCACAGTGCTGTTGATATCACCAAAGTGGCAAGAAGACATCGCATGTCTCCATTCCCACTTACGTCTATGGATAAAGCTTTCATTACGGTCTTAGAGATGACACCGGTGCTTGGAACAGAAATCATCAACTACCGAGGTACAATCAGATATAGAACTGCCCTTTATACACTGGCTACAATGTTTCTGTATGATCAAGCTTAATATTAAGATCTATAGCTTTCCTAAACAGTGGGTTTAATTATATGATATTAAACAGCTTCATTATTATCATACTACTCAACTCTCAGAGCAACAGTTCTCTGCTTCCTTTTTTTTTTTTTTAAAGGAAGGACTGTCATACTATTTTCTACTAATTCCAGTATCAACTAAAGAAGACTCAGGACTGAGTGGTAAACATAGCTATTCATGAGACTGATATTCTGTTTCACAAATGAGAAACAACAGATGATGCTCATAAAAATGTTTTTCATGGTATTGGCTTCAAAGCCAATACCAAAATCCACTGATGCATTGTCCATAGAGATCACCAAACATCACTGACTTCTCTTTTTTCTTCTTTGCATTCTTTTATTAAAATTTTTATTATGAACTTTACAAACCTGAACATCTCCATATAAAGAACAAAAAAAATTATACATAAAACTATGAACTCCTATTGTGTACAGTTTGCTTTTTAATTGTATATTGAATTTAATATGTTACTAAGAAAACTGCCCTGCTTATTTCTGTTCAATTTTCAACTGCATTACGTTCTCTTCTATGCTTGTCATACTCTATTACTCCCAATTCTCAGGCCTAAGTAAAGTATGTAAAATTCACCCTGTTGAAAGTTAGTTAGCAAGGTTGTCTTCCTCAGTTTTTCAGTATTTTGGAAATAATACATAGAAATTTTAAACATTTAATTTAGTGGTTTTTAAGTTATGTAATATCTTAACTGCTATATATGTAGCCATCATATATACATGGATTGAACCAAGGTCAGAAGTGCAATTATATAGCTAAAGGACTGTACTTTCATTCTTTCCAATACCATAAGAGACAAAATAATTTAAGGTGACATGACAAATGGTTATTTATTTTAGTTGGAAGACTGAGACTAGTGAAACATACTAAATAACAGATTCCATCACAGACTTGGGAAGTCCTCTCTATTCAGATGCTATTTTAAGACATTTTGCATTTGTCCTGCATTTCTAGCTTCCTTGTGTTATATAAGCAGGGAGTCAGGCAGCACATTTACTCTTATGTTTCACCACCTCGAGGAAAATTAAGATTAAAAGAGTCCATTAGAGAAACGCATCAGTCAAGTCTTCACTACATGACAACTGGAGTCAATTTGGATGAAATTAAAGTTCCCATCTATTTTTAAAGATAGAGTGAATATTCAGAAACAGATTATATATGTTCAACGTATCCTGTGACACTGAGGCATTTTCACTTAGAAGGAATTATAAAACATTTTAAAATATATTTTTCTAACCCATCCTTACCACTTCTTATTTTGGAGGAGTATTACTAAACTTACTTTAGACCCTTAGACACTCTTGCATCACTCTTAGCAGTTGTTAGTCTGTTCAGTGTCCATAAAAGTCACCTGTATATCAATTGTCACTCATGAGTAGACAAACCTTTCAAGAATGATTAGCTTTCTGTCAGAAACTGCTTCTATCCATGGTGATGAAAAAGTGACAAAGATCCCTGCACTTAACCTCTGAGTCAGATAAAGCTCAGTTTTTAATGCAGAACAGAATTAGTTATAGTGGGGCCTAATATAATGCTGAAGTTGTATTCAGAGAAAACACTATTTTGTATTTTTAAATGTTTCTGCAAACTGAAAAACAAATGGGGGAAATAGTCATATATTCCAAAGTATGACAAAACTATATATATATATATATATATATATATTATCATTGAGTTTGTATCTGTGTCTGTGGGGTTTAAAATCATCATTGCTACTTTTTTTTAAAGTCTAACTCATTGATGACTAAGCAACGCAAGTTAGAGCATCATTAATGCCTCAGGATCTTGTTTGGATATCTGGATCTTGCCTCATCAAATCCATTATGTCATTTTGAAACAGGAAACTAAATATACCCTTAAAATTTTGTCTGTGAGTTTTTCTTTCTTCTTTCTTTCATTGATTGTGATCTCCCACATTTTGTCCACTTGTTTGTGATGAGTTTAACAGTTCTTCCAATTCAACAACCCAACAAAATTCCATCAACTCTCCTACCCAAAAAAATCCTAGTCACCTGCATTATAGCTAGTCCTTGTACCTAAGGAAAATTATTTCTTAGAAAAGATGCTGTAAGTGGAAATTGTGCAATCTGAACCTTATTTTCTTCATTTTTTATAATTGGAGGTAAGGCTACTGGCCAAGGGCCTTTTAAAGAAATGACCAAAAATATCCTATTTAATCAATTGTAAATAATATACCTGTATATTCATAGAATGAACCTTTACAAAGTACATATAAATCAATGAAAGTTTGACACAATCACCAACAAATAACGTTTCTCTTTATATGTTACAATGTCAGAGTATGTTGCATAATATTATTATTTTGACAGGTACTTTGAGGAATCTTTTTGTGGGACTTTAAGGCCTTGTAATAGCTTTTCAAGAAACTGATCCAAGGAAATCTGTTGACACCAAATGGAATAGGGTAGGGCTAGGTTTCTGAGGCACTGGGTTTCCCTCACCAAAAGTCTTCAAGAAAAGGCTGGATGGCCAGTTATTGAGTATATTATAGAGGGAATTCTTTTCATATACAAGTTGACCTCTAGGTCCCTTCCAATCTAGTTCACTGGTAACTTTCATTCATGAAGAGGCATCAGAGGAAGACATTAATGGAGAAATAGGACAGAGACTTTTAAAGGTATATAAGAGAAATGACCCTAACAGCAAAAAGGCCCAGATGTGTATAGAGTTAGGCAGTGGAGGGTGGGAAGAGGAAGGCAGGAAAATTGAACATCGATGTATTCACCCTGGGACAGAAGGCAGCCCAGCCCTCAGTCCCTTCAAGTTGAGAGAGGAATAGAAGAAGGCATGGCCCAGAGAAATTATTTGCCAAAGCAAAGGAGGACTGGAATCTAAGCAGTATCCTTCCCTCTACTTTGCCTTAGCTATCTTCATTAAGGTGTTTGAGGAACGGCTTTCACGTGGAAGTTGTAAAGAGGCAGATTTGGGCTATATACAAAGAAAAAGTTTTTTAACAATTAGAGTTGTCTAAAAATGGAAGGGCCTGCTTGGGTGGTAGCAGAATTCTACTTACTTTAAGGGGCAGCTAGGTGGCACAGTGGAGTCAGGAGGACCTGAGTTCAAATCTGGTCTCAGACACTTGACACTTACTAGCTGTGTGATCCTGGGCAAGTCACTTTACCCCAATTGCCTTGCAAAAAAACAAACAAACAAAAAAAGAGGTCTTTAAGTTGAGGCTCGATGGACACTACGATTTTGTAGAGGGTTTTCCTGTTTAAGTAAGGGTTTAATTAGAAGGTCTCTGACATCTCTTACAACTCTGAGATTCTGGAGTGCTTGGGCATTTTGATTTTTTTTCCTATAAATTTCTCTTTTGCACGGATAGCATTAGAGATCAAATAGTTTGTTTCTCTTCTACATTCCTCAAAATTGGCTAATAAATATATTTTCTATTACGCACTCTCTATCCTAAGTGCTACAAGTACTAATATCCTCATTATTAAGTGGCAGAGCATAGTAAGTCAATGTACCATGCTTTTCTGAACATAGATTACTCCCTGAATATAAGCCACATCCCTAAAATATCTTGGAAAAGAAAAAATGTAAAGAAACATAACATACATAAATACACACACACATGGAAAGAGGAAGGAAATGGATATACACTGAAAACACTAATTATAGGCCTTACTCAGGTTTGATGCAAGGCAGATATTTGAGTAGAGAGATGATGGGAGAGAATTGTAGTCTATTGGGGGCCGTATTAAGAAAGATACAACTTTTGTCTGAAGGAAACCACCTTCAAGCACCAGTGCCTTCATTCTCTTTGCCAAACTAACCCCACCCTAATCCAATTCTGTTCTAGGGGAAAGAGTTGAAATTTGTTCACATTGAGGTAAAATTAATTCAATTTAATTCAACTCAACAGACATTTATTAAGCTCCTACTAAGTGCCAAGGTATGGGGAGAGTCAAAAACCAAAAAATAAAAGAAAGAACCAAACATTTTGCCTTCAAGGAGCTTATATCCTACTGGAGCATAACTGATAACTTGTAACTTTTCTGAGGGCTATGTGCATTTTAGTAGGTGTTAAGGCATTTGCTATCAAGTAGAGAAGAAAGAGGAGCCAGAGGGATTGACCAACAGAGCTTCCCCATCCCTCTCAAATCATACCTACTCTGCCTGTGTGTAAGACTAGCCCTGACACAAATGCCCATGAAGGAAAGTTTATGTTTTAGATGAGTGGTCTATATCAGTTGAATACATGAATGAGTATGAAGTCATTGAGGTCAAATGAGCTCAACAATGTTGCTTTAAGTGGTCTTGATGCATATTTGTGAGAGTTAGAGCTGGAACATTTCAGTAGAGCATGACCATATATAAAAATGCAAGCGATTGGTCCCTCAGAGTGAAGATCATTGACAAATGTTATCCCTTTGAAAGGATCTTAGAACATAGTACGTAAGACCGAATTTTAGAGCTTAGAAGGAACCCTATTAAATCTATTGCATCTCCCTTATCTCATAGATGAGGGAATTGAGGCCCAGAGAGATGAACTAGCAGAGTTCAGAATGAGATCACAGAATCCGTGTTAGAAGGAAAATGAAGTCCTTCTAGCCTAACCTGTAGTTGAACAGGAACTCCTCTACATCATATCTCACAAGTAGTCATACAGCCTTTGCTTGATGGCCCTCAGTGAGGAAAAATCTACCTACTGGGGCAGGCCAGGTGTCCTGTCCAGTGGGTTTCCACTTACTCTACCAGTATTTTCATCAGTTGCCTTCCACACAATATGAATATGGATTCATGAGAAATAGAGCATTGTTTTCCTTCTAAGACATTCATTATTACATTGATATGTATATCAAAAATATACCTATTCCACATACCCATTCTTTGGATGGAAAATGGCAATAATTCTCTATGTTGTGT